TAGACTCTTGATATATTCCTGACCGACTTTTTTCGCCCACCCTCCTTGCTCCATACTTTCATTGGGCTGCCTTGTGGGGACCACCACAACCTTGTTGTTGTTTTAACAACGTATGTCAGTTTACCGTAGGGGCGGGTGGGGGTGTCCCAAAATGCCACCATTGGCAATGTTTCAATGTGGGACGACGCCGGAATCAATTCCAAGCTCCCAAAGTGGCACAAATTGAGCCTCCTCTCGAGCAGTCACTTCAGCACTTAGCAACCTAACTATTGGACCGTCTGAGGCAGGGGGAGCTGAAATAGGGAACTGGCGGCTGCCTCCTCGCCTTAATGTGAAGCACTTCGTGATGATGAAGCAGGGGAACGAGCTTGTGGTGTTGGGGCACAGACGTCGAGACCTTTGTGTTGGCATCTGGCTGCTGCTAAGCAGCTTCTCCGATTTTGTGGCACAATAGCAGCTGGCGCGGCATGTGGGTGTCACGCAATGGGCTTGATGTACGCAACGTGCGCTCCGTATGGAGATGCACTGTATGCACACTGTCGCCGTTGTCGTACTGTTGGGCATCATGCCAGTATCCTTAAGGGAAACGGTGAACGCAATAGCCCTCAATATACAGCACAATTGCGGCAGTGCGGCCGGTGAGAGTTGTGCTGGACGCGGCTTGATGCGGGTACTTCCAGGGGGATGACCCACCACACAACCCAGCCATCCTGACAGGGTCGGGAACAGGGAAGTCCAGTCCCTCATGTACCCTCCCAGCCAACGGGAATGAGCGTGACCGTACAACAGTGATTGTGCCTTAACGATGTCGTTGGCAGGCGTGCAGCCTTCGCCCCACTGCGACAGAAGTTTTCTTGATGCGACCCGCAGGACACGTGCAAGAGCAGCCCACTCAAACGCGCCATGCCAGTTTATTGTGTCGCCACCGGCAATGTCAATTTGCCATGTGCCATTTGACCGTGAGTACGCGAACAGGTGCAAGTTCTCTTGCGTTGAGCGCTGGCTGCGTGCAGGCATCAGGCTGTGTGCAGCACTTCCGCGTCGTTCGCCATTGATGGCCGCGATCTGCGGCATGCCAATGTCATGCACGGCGGCAACGATGGCCCTCCATGACCCTTTGTGGTCATTTTCGATTATACCAAAGAGCATGGTAGGACAGGAATGAAAGAGCGGGTGTTGTGCAACTTGCTTGCAGCGCAGTGCGCTCGGTGTTGCAAGCGAGTGACCATTTCTCGTCAAGACAACGGCAGTTACGTGTTGTGGCGCCACCTTCTGTCAACAGAGATGGGGCCCGCAGGTGACTGGTGCTCTCGTTGCGAACCAAGCGCCACGACGGTTTTCCTTAAGCGAAGAAACATTGGTGAACAAGTACTGCTTGTTCGAGAGGAAATGGGCGCTACACAGACCAAAAACGCATAGTAGCCAATCCAACATGGTTCTGAGAAAAACCTGCCTATACGTGGGATCCTCAGCAATGGCCCACTCCGAATCCCACTACTTTCAGCCTCTTTTCACATTGATCAAACCGACATCTGCTGCCATCGTGTCCATTTGCTGTGCTCTACACGGGATGAGACCCAACCCACATCGCATGTGTTACCTCACCTACACAAATCCAACACAAACCCACCCACTACCCACGTGGTGCACCCCTGCCTGAAAGAATCGGTGGTCGTTGATGGGCGGACGGAGCCAAAGTGCCTGGAGGTGTGCAAGACAGCTCCTTTCCATGACAATGCCTGGCAGTGGTCATGGGGCGAGCACCCATGACAGACATTCCGTCATGCATGCCATGTGAGCGAGCGCCCCACGCTGCATCCCTCATGGACAGGGCCCTTTCAACGCCGCATCCATTTCAGACGTCACGAGTGTGTCAGAGAGGCCCACCACACTGAGGCTGGTGGCCCACAAGCTGCATGCAAAACCCTCTGGCGCACGCAAGACGGGGAAGTAGATTTTTGGCACTTCTGTGCATGAGGTGAAAATGGGCAGCTCCTCTGAAGATGGAAGATGCCCGGCGGCAAGAAAGACGCAAGCCAATGCCGCCTCTGCTGTGCTTATCAACCCACCTGAAGGAGTGACTTCCTTGGCCCATTTTGGGTTCTCGAGGACATGCGACGTTAGCCCTGTTGAGGTTGTTTTCACGGGGACTGCAACAAGCACATCCACCTGGCTGGACGTCTCCCTCACTCGCCGTTGCAGCTCCAGCGCAAACAGCAGGTTCAGCGCCTTGCCAGCACCATAATCCTGGAACTCCTTGGACAACTTGAAAGAAGATGTTGGGTCGACTGGGGCATACGGTTCGGGAGGAACCACGATGTACTTCTCGACCTTCTCTGCTGAGCCCAATGCCGCTGCATATGAAGACTGAACGATGATCTTGCCCACCACTGGGTCCACCATTCCCTCAGCCAGCAACAAGTTTGCCAAAAGGAAATGGCCCAGGTGGTTAACTGCAAGCGACAGGGAAGCGTTGCCAGCAGCTGGTGCAAATTTGAATCCCCCAGCATAACCCACGTTCAAAATGATGCCGTCCAGCTCCCCAGCAGTAAGTATTCCTTCAGCCTGGCTTGCTGATCCAATACACCCATCAACAAAGGCCTTTCATTATCCAGCACGGCATTTGCTGCTGTGAGGCGTGCACCGGATACCGCTGCAACATCTGGTGCAATCTGGTGGCTCCTGCTGATCAGGTCGCTCAAATTCCCTGAGTTCTCCATCGTATCCAACAACCAATCTGGGCATTCCTTAGAAGCCTTGAGAGCAGGATGTGAATGTGGAGAAGGCAACAATCCCACAACAGGTTCATCCGTTTGCCCTGGCCAACTGTCAGGTTTGTTGCTGTCATCGATCCACATGTGAGAAACAGGCACCTGATACATACCTTGTGATGCACTGCTGCGCCATGCAATCCTTTGCTCACCCCTGAATATGTCTGCACCTGAGATCTGGCTTTTGATTCCCATCAGACTTGAATACAGGTCACTCCCATAATATTCATCTTCCCAATCGTCCAGGTCTCCATCAGCATAGTTGGCATATGCCCCTGTGGAGTAGCCCCGCAGCTCGCCATGCACTGCCACTGCCCAATTCTTCAAATAGGCAAAGGTGCGACGATATGCCTCAGAATCCCTGGGTTGGCGCCGGCGAGAATGGGGAATGTAAGCCTGGACTGAAATCATTGCCACTGCTGACCTATGTTTCCAGACTGCACTTGACGGTGGCAACCGTGACATGGCTCCGCCGAGATGCTCTGTGGTAAGCTGCAGGTGAGCATCCTTGAGAAATCCAGGAGCATCAAGATATGCAAGATCCCTGTGAGGCAAGCATGCTGCAGACTTAGGAATCCAACACAGCTAATAGAGACCAGCTATTGACAACAATGAGCAGCATTCCTGCTCTGAGCAGCAGTGATGCAGAGCTCCACATGAACTTTGTCAGCATGAACACAACTCCAGGAAACGTTTCATACAGCTCCAACACAGTAGAGTCTTGTACAGCCAGCACCCGAAATGATGTACCAAAGATCCTGAAAGCTGGCCTCAGATGGATCCGTTGTTGTGCATCAACCAACATCAGCGGACAAATATCCTCACTGGCCATTTGTCTAGCAGAAAGTAGGGCTCTGGCACCAGAGCAAATAAGCTGCCAAGCATGCCAGTGCAAAGCTCATCCATCGGGTGCATGTTACACCTTTCTGGAGGAGCAACCAATAACACTTTAACCAGTGTAACACCACACATTTCTGTCTGCTTCTTTCAGGTTTCAGAGCTCACATGTCTTCGGCCAGCTCCATCCCTGAAGATGGGATGCAACATCCACATGTGTGGTCTACCATGGGGCACATTAGTCTCAAACATCTCTCCAGCTAGCCAACTTCATGATGAAATGATTATCCACACATCAACATCACCATTTGCAATCAGCTTGGAGATTTCTACTACCAACTGTGAGCACACTACAAAAGATGCCACACAGCAGCCTCTCAGCAATCAGCTTCGATGGCTGCCATGCAAGCCTTCCCTTTGCAAAGCACTGGAGGGTGCCACAACCTACAATGTGATCCGTTGCCCCAACAAAGTCGCTGAGCAACAAGCTGCCAGTGCCTACCAGTGAGTGTCCAGTTGGTGCACAAGGCATACACTGTTCGTATGGGCTGGCTCACTGGCATTCATGGAGCACAGAATTCGTCCCCTGTTTGAACGAATGGAAGGTTCTTTCTGTTGATCAGAGTTTGAGACCAACAGAGGTGGCATTCCTTGGAGTGCCAAACACGTCATGAATGAGCTCTGCCAACTGCTGCGCTCAGAACTGCAAGGGCTGTCGAGGTTGTAGACCACCAAGTCCTCCAAGTGCAAGAGCCCTGGGCAACTCTTTGTACACCACTAGCTTCACCCAATGATTGCCACCATGCATTCCAATCAAAGCGCACCTGAAATGGTTCACAATTATTTTCTCAATGTCTTGCGTCCACTGGTCGACCATGAGGCTCTTCCACACGATATCCAGAGCAGAACTCCCGTACTGGCGAGACCAGGTTGTGAACGTGTGGTTCTGCAGGAATGGCTCCCCTCTTTGAAACCACTGCACCGCCTGCCTTTGTGCCAACCTTCTGCCAGCCTCGTCTGTGCATAGCTTTTTGAATGCGCTGCAGAGATAAAATCAAGACACAGAATCCTGTCAAAGGAGAGGTGGAAACTGATGCTGCAGTTCTTCCACAAGCGAGACAAACCATCAGCGCCACAGGCCAGATAAAACTCATAGTTCAACATTACAAGCACGGTGCAACACAATAGGATCATGAACAGGTCCTGTAGATCCTCAGGAACAGCAGCTGAAAGCCATGCCAACCAGCAAACGGCTATGAACTAGACAACCCAGTGTCAAAAGTCGCAACATGAAGATTGACTGTGCCGTCCGCTTGGCAGCAGACATCCATCGGTTGGAATGTCATATATTTGGGTCAATTTTCTCCACCTTCCTGAGTCCCTCATAGTCCTCTACCTGCAGGCAGTCTCTTCATCTACAAGTGTAGACAGGTCCTCAAGAACGCCTTTTGCAATGACAAGGGCCTCATCAATTGGTCCATCAAAAAACAAGCCATAACACATGCGGATCTGCGGCAAAAAAACAGACAACAATGATATGGATGCTCAAGTGGCCGACTGCCTCACCTGTCTGAAAAACAACACGTCAGGCTCTTGCCACCATGCACCCCATCTACAAGCTTGAATCCTACATTCTTCTGCGACTTCACAAACAACAAGCACATTTCTCCATTTGGTCCTTGCTTGCCGATGTTTGCCACAGGATTAGGATGCAGCAAGCCCTCTGAAGCACAAATGTACCACAAATTTGATATACTTGAGAAAGCAACCCTGTTGGGGCACCCACTGTTCACCAATTAGCCCATCATCCAACAGTTCAGCACCAGCAGAGGACTGTGTACAGTTGAAAAGCCCTAAACTTGCCACCCCAACCAATCATGTTCGCACCGGCAAATAACCATCCCCATCCCCTTCCCCAGGAGGATGTCGGCTGCTGAAGAGGTCCACAGTCAACCTGTCGTCCATATCCCTGGCCTGCAGCACCTTCCCATGAACCCTGAGCACGTCAGCGGTGTCATTCTCCCTCCTGTGGAAACAAAACTGTCCAGCAAAGTAGTGATCGTGTGCTGGGAACGTCCTCAACTTCACGCTGGCCACCACCCCAAAATTGCTGCCTCCGGCTCCCTTCAATGCCCAGAACAGGTCCGGCTGATTGTCTGTGTCGACCGTCACCACTGTCGAGTTGGGCAGCACGACCGTTGCCTCCAGTACATTATCAGCTGCAAGGCCATGGGAGCGCGAAGTCCAGCCAACACCACCCCCAACCACCAGACCCACAACGCCCACATCAGGGCAGCCACCCCCCACGATTGATCGGTTTGCCTCTGCCAAGAGAGGGTGGACATGCTTCCAGAGTGCACCTCCTTCAGCAATTATGTGCAAGTCGCTGTCCCAATGGACGCCACGCATGTAGTACATGTCAATAAGCATCCCGCAGTCGTTAGTTGCTAGGCCAGCTGGGTTGTGGCCACCACACTTGACAGTGACAGTCATGTTAAAGTTGGCTGCTGCCTGGAGGGCAGCTTTGATGTCCTCAACTGTTAATGGCCGCACAACCACGCCAGGTTCCTTGTCTCTCAGTGCGTTAAACACCCGTGCAGAGAGGGTATATACGTCCATCCCCTTACACAACACCTGGCCCCTAATCGTGCCTCGCAAATTCTCAAGCGCCTCCCTGTGTTCGCAGATGGAAGCTTCATTCGCACATAATGCCTCGCCTGGTCCTGTTTCCCAAGTGCCCTTATTCAGCAAGATGGGGCTTGTGTGTATGCTGCGACTGGCATGTGCGGGGCTCTGCACCGCCGGTGGGAAAAGAAAAAAATTTACGCAGGCCCACGCCAAGAATAAAGCCAGACACAGCACTGCAAGCCGCCTCCACCGGCCCGTGGCGACAGCTCCCCTGCCATGGACCATCGTCTCACGACAGCCTGCTCGTCAGAGATTCGAAGCAGGCGAGATCATGACCACCCGATCCGGCTCTGCGCCACCAGTCCCCTCCGCCAGCGCGCCCGACGCTTCCGCGGCTCCCAATGGTCGCATGCAATGGATCCTTCCAAGCCCACACACAGCCCACCCGATTCGGCGAAACACGGGCTTGCCGCCGAAGGGCCGCAGACTTTCAGGCCGCGGCGAACAGATGAAACTGGTGGTCGCTCCGGAGTGAGGTGGCCGCGGGCAGGGACGTCTCCGCAACGGCAGCGCGTCACATCGAAGGTGCGAATGCACCAGTCCACTGTACTCAGCGCCTCGAGGTCTTTGCAAGGGCTTTTCCCAGAGGAAGGCTGGGGCGGTCGTCTCCCCAAAGGGTCCGCGAAGCGCTGGGTGCCGTGAAGTGACAGCGGATGGGACGGGTGGAGCCTCGTTGGGCCAACGACCAGCGAGTCGTGCCAAGCATCGGCACCGAAGGATTCGTGGACCCTTCGTGTCAGCACCGTAGCCCTTTCGCCGAAACTGCGAGTTGCTTTTGGTACTGTTACGGCTAGAACTGATTGAGTGTTATAAATAACTGAATGCATGAAAAGATGACGAAGCACTAGGAATTACATTAAGGATGTTGATGAACGGACTGGGTATAAAGGACAGAGCGTCTGTTGTCCTTTTGCCTCGGCTGTAAACCGTTGCCGTGGACTTGAGCGTACGATTCCCGTTCAGGGATCGCCACCCCTCGACCCTGCCTGCCTTCGTCAGTACTTTTGGTTGTAATTTAGGGGTGCATTAACCGTTACCAAGAGCCCAAGGCAGAGCTCAAAAACGACTACTGTTTCGGAAAGAAGCTGCAGCACCGATTGGCGCCGTCATCTTTTTGGAGTCGTGCTGGTGGAGGGCGCAACAGTAGCCCATTGGCACACCCGCGGCAACCAGTCACAACTAGAAGCAGGGTGCAAACGGCGTGTGGTTGGGCTGCTGTCGCCTGTGACTGTCACCAAAATGGGCTGCTCGCCAGACAAACCAATGTGAACTATAGATAATTGAGTGAATGGCGGCACCAGGTTGAGCTTGCTACCAGCCGCCACTGGAAATGCAATGCAATTCGATTTGACTCCCTTCGCAGTGAAGGGCGACAATGCCTATAAGCCAAGATCTTTGCGCCCCTGATGGCTGCCATGTGGTCTAGCTAGTTTACAAAAGGTGCGTCACAGATTCTACACCGATGGTGGCAAAGTATCTTGGGTTGTGGCAATATCTTGGTTTTGGATTGGAAAACAACATGAACACTGCTTTGCTCGAGCGAAATAGGGAGCTGATGGCTACCTTCTCGCCTTGGAATGTACTAAGTAAAAAATTTTGATGATGATGATGATTCTGCATCGCTTACACAGAATGGGAAATCATGAAAACCTTGCAATCATTGAAGCCGGGCCAGGTCGTTTCAACGAAAGAAAACGGTCCATATACCCATGGATGTTAGCAGGTTTTAACATCAATGTTTGCACCGTATTTATTTCACCGACTTGATTACAAGTGATTCATGCAAATGCGCCCAATGTGGGCAATGGTGAACAATGTGAACAATGTGCCTTCTCCCTTCGCTATAAACTGCAAGTGGCACTTTACGACCACTTTGCGACCGACGCGCTTAGCGACCGTTTCGAGATCAATGCAATCCTCACAGCGAAAAGGCACGTCCACGGTCCAATGATCCAGAACTGCCATGTTTACTGAACGGCCTCGGCCCTTGGCGTCCTCATGAAGACACCGCGCGCGGCGCCCGCCGTGACATTGCGATCTTCGAGTCCCCAGAACTCTGCCGGGCCCACGGATGACGGGAACTTCTGCCAGCTGCCCCCAAGCCCTCGGCACGAGCAATCCCGTCCATCTCCGCCCCAATGCGCATTTAGCATCGGGCATGCGGCACGCCAAACGGCCAATTCACAAGACCCCATTCCAGCCTCAACCGCCTCCTCGCAGAACCGAACCTCCGGCGGCTTCGCCCAGCTCAGCCCGCCACAGCCTGCGTGGCGGTGCCATCCAGCTTCTCGAGCAGCTGCTTCGAGTAGCTGGGGCTGTAGTACATGACGATCTCCTCCGGGTAGTTGGTGTTGATGACGTCGACGGCCTCCCTCAGCCTGCTGCCCGGGTTCTCGCCCATCTGCTGCACGATGGCCAGGCCGCCGGAGTGCACGAACTGCGACCTCCCCGCGGGGTCCGTGCCCAGCACCTTCCCCACCTGCTCCAGCACCATCATCATCACCCCCTCGGGCACGTTCTTGTGCACCAGCGCGTCCAGCGCGGGCAAGCACGTCAGCTTGCCCACCACCGACTTCAGCGCCCTCCGGCACTTCGTCTTCAAGTCCTCGCTGCTGTCGGGCGACGCCTCCATGTCCACGAGGTCCATGAGCACCCCCGTGTCGGACACCGCCTTGGCGTGGTCGGTGGTGTGGCGCCCCACCTGCCCCACCGCCCAGGCCGCCGCGCTGCGTATGTGGTCCTCCGGCTCCAGCCGGATGGCCTGGACCAGAGGGCCCAGGCCCTTCTCCGCGATCACGCTGAGCGCCAGCGTTTCGCTGAAGGCGGCGATGTAGCCCACGGCCATGACGCCGGGCAGGCGGTAGTTTCCCTGGCTCTCGGATATGTAGTCCACGAGAGCGCCTACGCTGCCGTTGCTGACCACCAGCTGGGCTAGCTCCGGCGTATGCTTGGCTACCTCCCTTATGACCGTGGCCGCGTGCTTCCGCACCAGCTCGTCCGGGAACTTGAGGCAGGTCAGGATCTTCGGGAAGACCTCCGCCTCCACGACCACCTCCGCGAGGTCGACCGAGTGCTTGGCGATGTGGGCCAGGCAGCAGCACACCTGGCGCTTGACCTTGGCGTCCTGGTTGACCACCAGGGGGCTGAGGTAGGCCACGGCGCCGGCGTCCACCACCGACTGGGCCAGCTCCGGCGTGTGCTTGGCGACGTCGCTCAGCGCGGAGGCCGCGATGCGCTTCAGGGACAGCTCGGGCTCCTGGGGCCAGCAGAGACAGGTTGGGTGCCCTTCTGCAGACCGCGATAAGCAAAAGTTGTGTGCATTACAAAGGAGTTGGCATCTGCTGGAGGGGAGACGTCAGGTGTGCTGGGAAGCTCATGCACGCACGCACACCCAGGCAGAAACCACGGGAAGTTCCAACACTTTGTACTACACCGACAATGTGAAGAGCGGAGACGCAACGCACTCCATAACAGACCCTTTCCTTCGCAAGGAGGGCGGGCCCTCTGCGCGGCATTCCCGCATAGACGTCTCCCGCAAGTTCTTGACGACTCTCGCCACCGCGGCGCCCCGCGCCTCCCACACACACAAACACCCGGAGCGGCGCCGGCCGCCCTCACCTGGATGCACAACACCAGCAGCGGCACCGCGCCGGCGTCCACCACCTGCTGCGCCAAGTCCGCGTTGTGCCCCGCCGCGTATCCCAGCGTCCACGCCGACGCCTCCTTCACCCCCGGGTCGAATTCCTCCAGGCAGGTCACCAGGGGGTCCAGCGCGCCGCTGTCAATCACCGCCTGGGCCAGCTCCGGCGAATGCTTGGCCACAGACCGGAGGCAGAACGCGGCGGACTTCTTGTAAAACCGGTTCTGCTCCGCCAGCGAGTACACCAGCTGGGGCAGGATCTCGTTCTGGACCACCGCCTCGGCCAGGTCGTCGCTGTAGCTCGCCAGGCGGCCCAGCGCCAGGGCGGCGGACTGCTGTATGCTGGGTACGTTGTCCAGCAGCAGGGGGCGCAGCAGGGCCAGGGCGCCCGCCTGGGTCAGCGCCTCGATGTTCTGAGGGCTGCGCGCCATCTCCGCCACAGTGGACACGAAGGCCACGCGCTCCTTCTGGTACTTCTCAAAGGTCGTGAGCACGGCGCGCGTCGCCATGGTGGCGTTGACCGGTGGCCGGTTGGTTGGGGGGACGTCACGGCGCGGTGGCTCCGAGGAGGGGATGGCGACCTTGCGGGACTGTACGGCGGGAGAGGAGGGGCTGCGGGCGCCCGGGGGGTCCGACGGCGACGGGCCTGGGTCGCTGTGTTTGGATTCCGGGGCGTTTCCGTGCAAGGGGGGCGTGGCGGGCCCTTGGTTCCCCATTGCCGTGGCGATCCATGACGGATGGGCTCATGGGCAAATTGGTCCGTTCATCATCATTGCGAGAAATGAACTGATCACAGACATCATCATCATCATCATCATCATCATCATTATTTACAGAACAAGGCAATGAGGTAGCCGCCAGCTTCCTTTTTTGCCTGAGCAAAGCAGAGTCGGTGATTGGCTCATTGAAATCTAATGAGAAATGCAAACTAAATCTATGATTCTATGGACTCTCTGATCACAGACACTGCTTTGCTCGCGCAGAATGGGAATCTGGCTGCTGACTCATTGCCTTGTTCTGTACAGAATGATGAGGAGGAGGACGAGAGAGAGGTTGACAAATGATGGTGTTGTGTATGGCGTTTTGTGGTGTGAAGTTAGATACGGTGAATATGGTGCTGAATCAGGGTGAGATGTTCATGGGGACAATGAAGACAGGGATGGACGTGCTTACAGCGAGTGATATTTAACTGTACTACTCATCCTGTAATGCATCTGGCTGGGGCTTGGCTTCCCGCACTTGGAAGCGATCGTGAGCGCGAGCGTAGTTATTTTCGTCATAATCGTGACGAACATTCCATAAATATGCAAGTAGATAACCTCAGCTTTCCAAGTTGCCGTCGCTTCCTGTTGTCCGTCTCCCTTAAATACTCCGTTCGTAGGCAAATGATTTCCCGGTCCATGGCCCAAGGCGTCTTCCATGTCAAGACGAGGAGGTCATCATCATGTTGATGGGCAGTCCCTGTTTTGGGCCAGAATAGGCGGCTGACCAGCGAGTGTCTCATGGTTTTTCGATCAATGGGCAAACGATCCTCGTCCTCATTCACAAAAGAAGGGCTGAAATGATTTGGGCGTTGATCGAAATTTATGCGACTCCTGAATTTCCATAGAGTCCGATTTCCATTATATTTCTTCCCGCATGGCGACTCCATTTTCTGTAAATGAGCTGGTGAGTAGCGGACGGGACAGAAAGAGTTGCATGGTATCGCAGAACATCCCATTCTGGCACCATCCTGAACAAAATTCCGTTCTATTAGCATCTTGCTTTCACTGACTGCATACATACCAAAGCCTGGGACTCATCAGTTGCGTCGACCTTTTTATGATTTTTCTTCAGTTTTACGGCACACGGCGATGTGATGGGGCTCACTCCGGGTTGGCGGTACTGTGGCCCAGCCCCACGGCAATACTGCACTAGGAATGAATGCGAGCTGTTGCAGCTTTGCCACCCGTCTGCGTGGCGGAATTTCGAAATGGCCGACGTGGTGGGACTCTTTTCCCTTAATGGCAGTCGGGCGCCGAGATCCAGCGTGTTTTTTTAAAAGTCCGCCGCCATTGTGAAAAATGCTTTGCCACAACCATTGCGTTGCTGATTGTGCATGAACTGGTCGCCCGAGGTGCGCGCGAATGCTTTTTGAACGCGAGCTCGCGTCGGTCTCAACCAAACCGCACAACACTGCAGCCCACTCGTTTCTTCTTGCACTGGCACAGCCTGTGGCGTAACGAGCCGCTGTTGCTGTCAAGGTGCACAGCAAAAATCGATCGTCCCCCCTGCAGCCCTGCAGAAATGGTTCAGATGCCCCAGCCCGCGGCTTGAGAAATTGTTCGCACAGAGGGAATCCCGCCGTGGTCTTGGCGCTGTCCATCGCGCCCGGTCGGGACAAAAATGTGATGTGCATGACAAAAACTGGAAACAGAGGAAACCAGAAATTTGGAGCTCGGACCTTGGCACCGGCTTTGCCGTGAGCGCAAAGATGGACAGTAAATGCTGCCCAATTTGTGGCAAATTGAACGGGCCCCAACCTGGTCCAAAAAAGGCCTTGGCCCAGAGACCTGCCCGACGGCTTCTGGAGGACCCGCCGGAAGGCCTGGGGCGCATTGCTGCGCGTGCGGGAGAGGCTGCCCGAGAACGGCGGCTCGTTGGGACGATATCCTTGTGAAGGCAGCCGCCCGCAGCCATGCCTAAGAAAGCTGAAGAACCCGAGGAAAGGGTCCTCCTGGGCCGTTTCGGATCCCATCTGAAGGTACAGCGCCTTGTCGTTGTCGGGGGGAGATCTATCCTTGAGGGTGCGCTTCCGTGGTTGGGAGAGCGGATGCGTCATAGCTAGGTCGCTCTGCTTTTCCGCGGTCGAGAAAAACAGATTCTGGTTGTCTGTGATGGAGTGCATCCCATGTGGCAATTTTTCGTCCACCTTCTGCAGCCTCCACTCACATTGCTTTGCCCAAGTCTTGGTAACAAATTTCGCCGTTCTGCGGGAAAAACTATTTGTTGGTGCTTGTGCAACGTCCGGTCGCGAAGATCTGCCGCATGCATATTCACCCAGGACCATGCGACCCTGGGCGCCAAGTACTAGTTCGGTCTCACTGCATCTGTTTGGGTAATGTTTTCTCTAACATTTTGCTCATTTGTGCAGATCGGCATTGTGGGGATGCCCAACGTCGGGAAGAGCACATTGTTCAACTTGCTGTGCAAACTGAGTGTACCGGCAGAGAATTTCCCTTTCTGCACAATCGAGCCGAACAATGTGAGGCAAAGCTCATCTCAAATCTGTTGATGCTTTGTCCAAGTTCCTGTATTGCAAATTGCTGGTACATTATCGCCATTGCCACGAGTCTGCCTGTTTCTTGTATTGACTGCAAGGTGTTGTTATACCGAACGGAGTGAGTCCTGGGAGTGTGAAGTGCTCATTGGGTCATAACGGGAGGACGAGTTGAAGGAGCAGGGAGGTTGTGTGGTTCTGTGACTGCGTGGGAGACAGAAAAACATGCTTCAGATGCTGCTGCCGCTGTTGTAGCCTTTCAGGCGATGTTTCTTTTGTGAATGTCAGTCGATGGAATTGGCATGTGACATGTTGGTTTGGGCTGTGGTACAACTGTCAGAATTTTCTCATTCCGCTTCTGTGCTGTCTCTCAAGGCCCGAGTCTCTGTGCCTGATGAGCGGTTCAATTGGCTGGTCGACACATACAAGCCCAAGAGCAGCGTCCCAGCAGTTTTGGATGTGGTGGACATCGCTGGCTTGGTAAGGTGAGAAAGCTTGGGATGGTGGAGGTGTTTGTAGTGGACGAGTTTTTGGCTGTTTTGTTGGTTCCCACACCAGCCAACCTGCACTAACACCAGAATTTTCAGCAAACAGATACCAACGAGCTGATAAACAGAGAGTATCAAATTAATGTGCTCACTCGCTTGGTGTCTCCTTTTGGGATTTTGTTTCCAATATGAGCAAGCCCAGGCTTGCATTCTTGACGACAGTAACTCACAGGCAGATCAATGGTTCAAAGCATTGTGTAGACTCGATTATGGACAGGATTTGCAGGACAGCTGCCTCTGTCGCCCTTGTGTCCAGTCTATTTGTTGACCAGAATCAGCTCATCCTGAGCAGGTTGGTGCTCCCTGCTGCTCGCATGAAATGGCCCTTTAAAGATATGTGGAAGAGCAAACCCACAGGAAGAGTGGTGCACTGCCCGCAGCCTGTAGGTAATGCTTGCGGGGGTCATTCTATTCTTTGCAGACCTTGTTTGCGCTACTGTTGAGCTCTCCCTATGCCATCGCCTATTTCTTTGATAGATATGTGGCATGGGGCAGTTTCAGATGGAAACAGAAGACAGTCTTCTTAGCGATTGCCATGATACCTAACATGGTGTGACTATGTTTGGGAGAGAGTTTGGGGTGCCACCGCCTTGGAAATGCTGTAGCAGCAAGAGGACTCAAATTTCTTCCTTGTACATTGGAGCGCTGACTGTGGTGGATTCTTTCGTATGCATGTCTTACAGCATGGCACTGTGCAATAGTGCAGAGAAGGTGCTTTGCCCACTGCAGATGTCATTTATCCATTGGAGGGATGCAGATGTAGCAGCAAGCATCACAGTGGCACTGAGGAACTTAAACAAAGCAATTTTGGGTCTTACCAATTCATGGGGCACCAGGGGCGCTGCACAAGGTGAAGGACTGGGCAATGCTTTCCTGGCAAACATATCTGCTGTCGATGGCATCTTCCATGTGTGCCGAGCCTTTGCCGACCCCGATGTGACCCATGTTGAGGATCGAATTGACCCCGTGGAGGACCTGAAAATCATCTTCGCGGAACTGAGGGCAAAAGATATTGAGAGGGTGAACACCCACATGGAGGTGAGGTGACAAAATGACGACTGGAATTGTGGGTAAACAGAACAAGTGGATGCTGTGAAGTTGTAGCAAAATGCGCGTAGTAGGATGCAAACAGAAAAATGGAACAACCGCGTGAACGATGCTTTCCAGCTGGCACGGTTGATGTTGATGCAAGGTGCAGGATGGAATGGACACACTCGTGACCATGAATACCTCTGTACACTGGCTGTGGTGACAGTATCACAGTACATTGGAAGTCCTGGGCAGGCAGCATGTCCCTTGCTGGATTGTAACAGACCGTTGCTGCAATCTATTGGTGCATGCAAAAATGCCAGTTTCAGCATTAGTAGGCTCCCCATTCTCAGCGGCATCCATTAGGTGCTGTTGCCTGTTGGTGAAACCTTGGTCAGTATGTGTACCCCTGCACCCCAAAACGCACAGCACACAAGCCTGCAGCTCAGAGTGTAACATTGAGATTTTGTCGCAACATTCATCTTTGTGGCGCGATCAGGCAGCCAAGAAGCTGAGAAACCAGCCTAAAGAACAGAAGGAACAGCTGGAAATGTGTGGGAAGTTTAAGGAAGCTTTGGAAGAGGGGATCGACATCAGGTGTGCTCTCAAGTCGCTCTGCAGCCCGCAGTGCTCGTAGCACACCACAGCGTTCGCCACTCACCAGATGTTGCACGCGTCGTTTGCAGGTTTGGCAAGTGGAACAACAAGGAAGTCGACCTGCTGAACACGCTGCAGCTTCTGACTGCCAAGCCGTCGGTCTATCTGGTGAACCTGAGCGAGAAGGACTACATCCGCAAGAAGAGCAAATGGCTGCCGAAAATCTTCGAGTGGGTCAAGGTGCGTCACCGTCAGCACCTACAGCTGGGCTGCTTGATGTCTGGGTTGAAGTTTTATGGTGTTTTAGGGCTAGTACTTTGTGAGGGTTGAAGGCTGGCAGATTGTGCACATTGTGTTCCCTTGTGGGTTGGTGGCTGTGTTTGTTTTGGCCACACCTTGTAAGGTCATTGCTGACCTCCAGAAAAGTGTATGAAGTCTGGTGGTCTGAGCTCGGCGGAGACATGTGACGACTGTGTAATTGTTCGCATTGCTGCACCAAATATGCTCATTTGCTCACCCACAGCAGTAGGAATGCAGCCAATGCCTCTTGAAGCAGCATGGACCAGTCGACTGAAATGTACGGGTGTCTTAAATAAGTATGCTTCTGTGTGCACTACGTAGACCAGTGGTGGACCTGGCGTGACTTGTGAGAAGCGTGCCTCCCAGGCTTGAATGACCAGCAACGACATTGCTCGTTTTAAACTAGACGTTATCGATTGCTGCTGTGACTTGGACGAAATGCAGGAATCTCTGAATGTTCCCTAGTCAGCAACAGTACGTGTTCGGGCCAGGAATTGAAGCAACGATTTTGGGGCGTGGCTCAATTGGTTGTTTATGTTGAATGACAAGCACAGTTGGTGTTGTGCCCTTCAAATGAAGACAGCATATGGTGCAGGTCGGACAGCTCAATAGCACGATGTGTACTGGATGGTGCCAATTCATGTTTTGGGATCTATCAGAAGGCTAGATTTGCTGGAGAGCATCAATTTGCGACTCCATTTTCCAGCTTTTTGCCCTGTGCATCTGCGATGATGGCTCATTCCATTGCTGAAAGTGACGATGGGCCTGTTTAGGAAAACGGTGGTGAGCCCATCATCCCGATATGCGTCTCGTTCGAGGCCAAGCTCCATGAAATGCCAGACGACGAGGCGGACAAGTATTGCAAAGAAGTCGGGGCAACATCAGTACTGCCCAAAATCATCACCACGGGATTCAAGGCCATCCAACTTATCTATTTCTTCACTGCGGGCCCTGACGAGGTCAAATGTTGGCAGATTCGAAAGGGGTCCAAGGCACCACAAGCAGCAGGTAGGGAGGATGGGCAGGGGGGGGAATGGTGCCAGTGATGGAACACGCTATTGGCATGTGGGCCCGGGCATTGATGGGACTTCGTCCTTTGTTGTGCTGTTGCAACAGACACAACTCTCCTGCACCTTGGACAGATGCCTTTGCCACGGTTCAATTTCATTTTTCACTGACTCGGTTTGAGCCTTCTGGATCTCGAGTAGGCACATAGCGGGGTTGTTTCCCAATGGCTGTGCTGCATGACTGTAACGTGTCGCATTGGTGCATGTCACACTTTGTTCATTGTCTGTCCTTGGGCATCTCAGGCACCATCCACACCGACTTCATGTCACACTTTGTTCATTGTCTGTCCTTGGGCATCTCAGGTACCATCCACACCGACTTCGAGAGAGGGTTCATATGCGCAGAAGTCATGAAGTACACAGAGTTGAAAGAATTGGGGTCGGAAAGTGCAGTGAAGGCGGCTGGAAAATACAAACAGCAGGGGAAGAACTACGTTGTGGAGGATGGTGACGTCATTTACTTCAAGTTCAATGTCACCTCCAAGGGGAAGTGACGCAACGTTGCCCTGTTTATGCAGAGGGCTTCCGGTTGTGAATGGTGCCCTGTCAGGATCAGGTGCTTTTCACGATTGGTCCTTGTTTGAGTCAATGCACGAATTGGTGGTGGCCGTGAACCTTGGAGGTGGTCGCTGTTGTACAATGAAGAAACAACGACAGCCTCAGCACATACAGAATGGGAAGCAGCTGCTGACCCTGCTTTCGAATGGGGCTAATGTGCCAAGCCTGTCTTGCGGCATAGCCGCATGCTTGCCTGCAGTGCAACAACATGTGTGATTAATCGGGCATGGTGGAGTTTGCCGTGCTGGGTGCCCTGACAATAGTGGCTGAAAACGGCATAAAATGGCAGGACTCGAATTTAATTGGGGCCTGCAGGATCTGCTGGTTTGAAACCTGGCAAGAAAGGCATCCTTGCTTGCAGAAATCCAGGGAGCAGTTGACCAAACCCCAGGTTTCCGCGGACCTATCTCTTGATGCCATGGTGGAATATTACGGCCAGCATTGGAACGCTGATGCGGCAGCCAAGGCATCGGTTGGATTTCATGTGACTTTGGAGGTTTTGTGCCCCATTTGGCACCAATTGGGCGTCGTGTTTAGCCCTCTCTGCATCCGCTCAGCGTCCCCTCTTCCTCGCTGCTTCTTTCCTCAACTCCGCCGCGTGCAGCGCCCAAGCGTCCCTGGCCCACTCCTCTCCGTGCAGAATTTTGATGGCGGCCTTCTTAGTTTTGTCATCCCTGTGGCTGGACAAGCTGTCCAGGACCTCGGGCAGCCCCACCTCCAAGGCGTCGTGAGGGTTGACCCTGCTGTTCTGAAGCACCTCCAAAATGAATCGCAGCCCGCCAAGGAACACGTTCTGTTCTGTCACGGAGATTTGGCTCCCGGGCTTTGGTTGGGCTTGGTTCTTGTAGGACTCGAGGTCCTGCACGAGCCGGCGCAAGCAGTTGATGTCCTGCGCGTCAGCAACTTTCATCATCACCACCATTTTTTACGGAACTATGTAAATATAACTGTAATAACTGTAATGTAACTGTATAATCAATGAGGCAGCCGTCAGATTCCTATTGTGCTAGAGCACAGTGTCTATGATCAACGTCTGTGAATCTATTAACTCCCAGTGCCAACAAGCGATTGTCGATTGTCATCGGCTTTCATCAGCTGCAGGCGTGCGTGCACTATTGGGGGCGATCGTGCAGCTGGCATTAGAGTGTGCGTGATGGACCAAAATGCAGTGTTTGCCGTTGTGATTCAATTGTTACTGTCAATCGGTCGTGTGGTTTTATGCTGGAGCTAAAATGATCAAAATCCATTCGAAATGTGGCGAGTTGCGCTCCAGTGCAGCCGTCCAATGCTTGTCTTTCTACGAAGGGTTGCCAAGCAATGCCTGATCTAGCGAATCAATTGATTTTTTGCCCCATCGCTAGCCATTGCTGTGTGGATGTTGCTCCGTCGGCGAGGGGCAATTGTGCTCGGTTTATGGCTACGTGTCTCTAGCAACGCTGGAAGAGCTGAAGATTACCCCGTGCATCAATGAAGTCAACATCCTGGTGCCGATTTGTCCCAAGTTCGCTTGAGATCTCAATGTTTGTAGCCGTCCAACGCCCGCATGGCCGCCTTCAGACACTGTTCTCTGAACCCACAGAGGGCAAAGTTGTTCAAAGTGAATGAGGGGCGCCACCAGGGCCGGCTTGTCAGTCACAGCTGGGTGCAGACCACGTCAGTCGAGGCCACCGACCACCTCACTAGCAGAAGCCTACCTCGATGTAGTCATGCTGCTCCTTCTTGCCGTGCTCGCACGCCACCTTGTACACTCTGGTGCACCGCACCAGCTTCGTTAGCAACGTGTCGAGCTTGGGCTTTCTCGTGTATCTCCGTGTTTTCCTGCGTTTGCCGCCAGCGCCGGCCTCCCTGGGGGGCCTCCCTCTCCTCCTGCCACTGTCTTGGATCTGGACCCCCCGTCCCTCGGTCGCCGGATCTGCGGGTGAAAAAAAAACGGCATTCCCTCAGGCACCTCGACGTGTGGCGCATGGTTGGCTTCACTCTTTGGAATGCGTTCAATTCATTTTGAGAAATAATTATTCGCAAAAAAGAAACTTTCAAGAAACATGTAATCCCGATCAGCAAGCATTGCACATCCAGAGAGGGAGGCCGCCGCCAGCTTCCCACCCCGACCCAGAGAAGCAGTGCCCCTTGCTTTTGTTCAATGTTCACCACTTCGCCATTCATGGATCCATGGATTTTGATGATGATTTCGGTATTCGTATGTTCATTATTCATATGTTCTTTCTGTCCAATGTTCAGCGAAAGTCCAGCAGAGAACATCAGCCCGCGAGGCAAAACGAGACGGTACAGGGCCCTTGCACCGTCAAGGCAGCGTTGGGCCGTTGCCACACCCAACACCAATTTCCTGCCATGTCCATCCAAAACCTCCCCACCCGTTTGCGACGGGCGCGACCAGTCGCGCGGGGGTGGCCAAAGTCTCCAGAGGTGCTCAGAGGCTCAAGCGGGTTGTGTGCACAGCCACCAATCAACCGAAGCCCAATCGGGATCGCCGACCAACCTGGAGGCGCCTCGGCGGCATCATCGGTGGTGGCTCCCTCCGTGGAGGGCGACGCGTCCGACCCCTCCGCCAGGATATCCTTCCAGTCAATGCCCCCGCAGTCCCTTGGGAAGGGCTCCTCCAGACCCAGCCGCCGGCCCAACTCCGACATCCTGCACCTCTTGCCCGCGCGCATGAACTCCGGATCGTCATGCCCGACGGGCTCAAAGCCGTCCAAAATCCCCGGCGACGCATCCCTGCGCGCCTCCCCCCCGCCGAGCAGGCAGGACGCGGCCTGGGGCCGCGGCGGCGCGAACTCCGCGCCGAACCCGGGCAGCGATGCCAGCGCGCGGGCCCCCCTGCCGCTCGCCGGTCCGCCGATCGACGCGGTCACGCCCGCCGTGAACATCACCCGCCTGGAGTGGGTGCGCGGTAGCCTGAAGATCGCGTGGCATTCCGCCATGAAGTCCCTGCTCCGGGATCCGGACGGGGCAGCCGATGATTGGCGTCTGTGGCCGCCGGCGGGCGTACCCGGCCTCTGGCTCTTGGCCCGTCGCCGATTGCAATTTGCCCCCGCGCCGGGGTCGCGATCCCGCCGCCCGCCTCCCACCTCCTTGCCCGATCGATCGGCCCTCTGACGCGATCCGGAGATTGGTCGCTCCCTCGCCGCCCCTCCGTCAGATTTGGCGCAGGCGCGTTTGGATGCCAACCCCGGATGCTGCAGGATGGCCGGATGATCGGGAGCGCTGGCTGGCGGGCAAAAGTTTTGAGATGGGTGGGCCAGAGTGTTGAGGTCGGCGGCGTTCAGCATGGGGCCCCGCAGGGCGCCTGTGGCGCCGCCTAGCGAGAGGACGGGCGCTGGGCCGGCCGCGGGGTGCGCCGAGGGGCGGCCGGGCCGCGCCATTTGTGGCACCCTGACAGAATGGACAGATTGTCGCTGGCGCCGCAGCGCTGGTCGGGAATTGTGACTGGACGGGGGCGCAGTGGCGGTCACAAGAGTGAGGAGAATTACTAATAGGATGCTGACGGCTGCCTCGTTGCCTTATTCTGGAAAAGACGATGATGATGATGAATCACTAGTTCTCCGAACGAGAATGAATAAAACTCCCAATGACAATTGCTAAATCTATGAATCACCACTTCTCCAAATGAGAATGACTAATTCTACTGATAGGCGTATCCTGACGCGACATAAATGACAAGGCGGCGTGTCTGCCAAGGGCGCTTCCAATTGCAGGAATCCGATGCTTCGCACGCCATCGCCCACCACAAGCAATATTACAGATGTGTGCATGCGGTGAGTCACCCTCTCTTTTGAACCAAGTTGAGTGCATGGAAACAAATCGCACGTTCCCGCCTGCTTTCGCCGCTGAGTTTATCGCAAGAACAACTGCATGGTCTTTGACACGAACGCTCCTGGAAGGTCCAATTCACTGAACCAAGTCTGCTGCATACCATGATCCGAGCACCCCCCACGCTTTAGGTGGACTCTAAAAATGTGCGTATTGTCGAGAATCAATTTTTCTCCTTTTTCATTTCAATGGAATGTTTTTCCACCAAATTGCCGTCGTCTGATCCCCTGTCTCAAACCAAAAACTAAAGCTTCATCCAGGTACATTATCTCGCTCTGATCATAGAAGGCTGGTACGTGCGTTTATGAAATTGCCGATATTACTCATGTTCAGGCCATTTTTGTAGATTTTTGCAAGAACTTGTGACCTGTTGTTTAAGAAAGCTGGCAGTTTCCCAATCCGCGTGATGAATGCTGAACAATCGGGGATGGCCCCCCCATCGCCCGGATACTACATCGTGGATGTTGGCAAAGGCACCCGCAATTCTTGTCGCACAGGGAAGATACAGCCGACTGTTCAAACAAGCCGCGGCAATACCCGGGATTCAGACCACGTCGAGTACGGATCCTTGGCGACGCAATTCCCAGAATACTCCTCTGATATCATTCAAAACAATGTAGTACACATCCCCAGACCCCATCATCCCCACACCCCGCCAGCCATCAATGATCAACGCATCCCGAGAAAAAATGCCATCTCGGCAGTGCAACGCATCTCGAAATGTCACTCCGGAAGGGAGCAGAGCATGCACACGCCTCTCATGGTCCAGTGATACTCTTCCACGTTCGTCGGCAGCCTTATCATCATCAGGAAGTTCGTCGAGTGTCCCGTGGTAGCCAACACACCCCGCCTTTCTGCGGTCCTGTACACCGGGCAATTGTAGTGTCGAAACTGAGAGAATTCTGCGGTCGGAAGCGGCCTGAGCCATATGACGGGCGCCCTGTCGTACAGCACTTTTGGGTCCGACTCCTTGAGCATCATGCCGCCTGCATCCCACCCGCAGCCCTCCAGGAACAGGCCGTAGATGTAGACGCCGTCCACGGGCGCCTCAGAGATATCGTATTCCCGGTTCGGCTGCACCTCAAAATCGAACCCCACGGCGTCGATTGCCAGCTTGTTCTTGCGAGCGTAGTTCTGGAGCGCGGCCGTCGTGAATGCCGGCGTGAAGAAAAAACCTGACACCCAAAAGACGTTGGGCTGGCCGTTCTCGTACCAGTCCTGCAGCATCTCCAGGCGCTTGCCGAGCTCGGCGACGTAGCCCGCCAGGGGCTTCAGAGAGGGGAAGGACTTGCCCTTCCACAAGGCCGGCACCTCCCCGGCCGCCATCGATCGGAAGACCTTGTCGAGGTCGCTGGACATGACCTGGAGCCCCTGGATGGCCTTCTCCAGGTTGGACAGGCTGTTTCGTATTATTGTGATCAGCACGTTGTACCTCAGCATCTCCTGGCACAGTACCTGAAAAGACGGGGAGCGCAGACGGCATTTCAGGGAAATGCCGTCATCCGTGCGCAGCCACGCCGTGAAATTAGGTAAAGGCGAATGTTCCAATTTAGATACGTTCGGACAAGGCTGTCAGCTAAATGCCTATGCAGTACTACTTTTGAAACTGGCACGAAGGATGCCCATTTGTACAATTAAATTCGATCATCTCATTGCCATTTCTGTATTTCCGCGAAATTTTTATCTGTAAAATGCTGCACCAGATCCAAGGGCGGATCGAGTCGCATCATGTGAGTCGCATTCTTGGCGCCATTTCTGGCCGTTTTCTGGATCGTTGCCAATGGATTTACCTGGTTCATGGACTCGTCGTATCTAACAGGAAACTTCGACTGGGCCTTCTCGATGTCGAAATTGGGAGGCAGCTTCCCCAGAATGTCTTTGACCATGCCGCCCACAAGCTCCTCATCGCCTCCGCCGTCCCCGCTTCCCCCCGAACCCCCGGCCAAGGTCAGTGCGCCCATTGTCACTTTGGTCTCTTGGAGGTCTTTGGTGATGTTCGCGTTCTCGTGGAGACCAAATACCTCTGGCATGGGAGCAGATGACAAGCTTTCTATGTACCTACAATATGTGCGCACGGAATCCTTCAGCGCTGCACAGAAGTGATTTCAAGAAGAAGGTGGCGCTTGAATGCCGCACAGCGCCTGCCGTCCTTTCTGGGCACCGTTTCTAAATTGTCCATGGGCCTGGTATTGTGAGCTTCAGCGCAGCTGAGACGCTCGATCGCATCTCCATTGCATGAAGTCTGTGCGTGTCAGTTCATCACATTTCTTCAAAAAATCATGCATACTGTCAGATCATCTGACATCATGGACAAGTCAAAGGGCCCGTCGCCCAGAATTAGGACTAATTAAGGATGAGTGCCATCGCCAAAGAAAAACATAGTGGCGATATTTGGTGCGGAGAGGTATCCCTCACTTGACGTATGTCTCGTGCGGTCCGTCTTCCGGAACGTAGTACATTCCCGACGGACTAAGCTTGAATGGTGACACCGTGAGTATCTCCGGACGGTAAATACGATCCAGCACGGTCGTCAGCAGCCTCCTGTCCTTGTCGTCTGTAACGCGCCCGCCGTAGTTGCATTCCCCAATGGCGTACTTCAGAGCGCTGAATGGCGTCTCCTCTGCCTCGTCCAGATACATGCGCAGCTGCCGCGCTGAAATGCGAAGGTCGCCATCGTCGAAACTGTAAGGTATGTTCCATCCGATGGGACCAAATTTCCGTCGTTCCTGAACGAAGGCGTGGATGAAGCACAGACCGAAAAGCAGCTTCTTGAAGGAGGCCGGTTTTGTGCAGCCTGAGTGTTGCCCCACCCTTGTGAGATGTCAGACCTCAAAAATTTGTATCGCTTGTAGAGCGCCACAAGCTTAAGCGACATAACTGTTGGCAATGACACACTTCACTGCTAATGCAGTGACAGTTCTTTAGCCTGTGCCAATCAGGATTTCTGTTTAAGAATATCCATTTTGCAACCATTAATCCATGGCATCAACATTTGGGACTGGAAGCTTGTACTCTGGCTTTTCATGAGGACCACTTCTCATTTACGGACCTGTCTACTCCCTGGTCACCGTAGTCCCTGAACACTAGTGGAAGCTTGGCGTACCCAAATTTGAACATTTGTGGGTTAGTTGCCGATTACCATTGAACCACAATGGACTAGTTTCTATTCTACGGGCAAGCTCGCGTATGAGAATATCAAGGACAGGAGCATTCTCTTGTGCGTGCAACAAAATGCGCAAAAAATCTTGCCTTCAAAGAACCCGTTGCTGCTGATTGGATCCATTCTGTACGACCGCTTGAGGTTCGCCCTCAGCCCTGCCGGTGGCTCGTTGCTCATCTTGACGGCATTCTGGAGAATTGAGACGGGGAACGCAGAGCTGGGCATGCTCGTCATCCACAATCGGAAACTGGGGTGGGTGTTGTCGGGAAGAATGCCTTCACAAATTTTCTCCAAGGAAGGCATCCAGGACGCTGCCAGGTGGCAGTTTTGGAGCACCACCCAATTTCCGCTGCTCCGAGCTGCATTTATCAGCCCCTCGGCCTTGGGTCCCTGAATCCAGACAGTTCATTGCATTCAATCCCGTTGCCGATGATTTGCCGACGTTAGTTCAACAGATACCTAAAAGGCAGTGCTTTGTGTCTTGGCGACTCGTGCGCGGGAAACAAATTTGTTGGGCTGCGCCGGGCCCGCACAATAATGGGGTACGGCCAACGGATTCCGCCAATGTGTGCAAAATTACGAAATAAATGACGGGTGGCGCAGCATGCGACGAAATTTGAACAGAATTTACGCTAATTTTGCCTGTATTTACTGTATTCTTATAATTGGATCACTAATTTTTGTTTTGTGCATCAGAATTTTTAATGCAACGGAAGGGCAGTGATGCTTGTGCATCATGTGCAATGCGGACTTTTGCGTGTGACACGTTGGGATTGCATGTAACGCAGCATAGAAACAAATCTGAAGCAGTTGAGTTATAAATAACAATTCGGACATCATGTTGCAACTAAGAATTCCATTTAAGCTCAGTTATATGGTACACAGCTCTCAATGTCGAACTGCCTCACAGATAAGTGATGGGCGCCACCAGCTCTGAGAGAATCCTTGGCGGACGGCTGGAAATTTACACTCCTAGCTGTAGTTTAGCTTTCATGCAGTAGGCCCCAAACTGCAGTGTGACCGGTAGCGATGGGCGAACTATCCGAGCAAGGACAAAAACACAGTGCAAAGCCAGTTCAACCCCTACCTGTCCCTGTCCCATCGATATCGCCGATATCTTGGCCGCCATGTCGTCGGCGAACTTGAGGAGCGCGGCGGTGGGATCCGATCCAGAGGACAACACGAACAGCAGCGGCACCGTGGCACTGGACTCCTCATAGCAAGACTTCAGGTCTACCACGGGAGGCTCTACGAACTTCCTGCCCAGAGTCCCTTCGACGAATTCCGCAATGGCCGGGACGGTCTTGTCCGGGCGCAGCATTTTGATCACCGCCAATTTCTCAAACCGGTCTAGCTTGTCTCCATAGCCCATGGGCAGTCCCGCCTGCTGCGGCTCAGCCGAGTCGAACACGGCCTTCCAGGGGGCGCCATCTTTGCAGACGACGTCCGGGAAGTCGCGGAACTTGGGGTCGATGTTCGCAACGCGGCACATCTCCCCCCATGACTTGGCCGACAGCCAGTCGCTGCAAGGGTTGGCCAGGGGCTTCTCCGGGACGCCCACGCCGCCGTTGAGCAGGAACGAGTAAAGGCCCGGGCTCAGGCCCCCGCCGGTGGACAGTATCCGGACGTCGAGCAGGAAGGCGAAGAGGAGTTTGTCCTTCTCGAAGAGGGACAGGCATATGTTGTGGTAGAGGGCGTAGGTGAAGTGCTCGTTGATGTTCTGCAGGCGGGTGCCCAGGTCGGGCGCCTTTTCGCTGCCGCGGATGGACCTCACGAAGAGGGAGATGAACCACGTGAGGGAGTATTGGTACATGGGGTCGACGGCCGACATGTCCCGTATGCAGAAGAAGAGGACGGCGTTGAAGGACCCGCACGACTGGTATCCGGTACGGGCGTCGTCGATCTCCTTGCTGGTCTGCTCGGCCACCACCTGTTTCTCCTGTATTTGATTGCTGACCTGGTGCAGCGATAAAAATGCGGCTCAGGGACACAGAAAGGTGAAAATGGCTGTGCATTGGCTGGCGTAATGCAATTTCCATTATTGTAGCAGTTGATTTTACACTGAAAAATTTTGTGTAAAACGAGTCAGTTGTAATGTTCAAGTATTTACCGATTGTTGAGGCCATAGTGGCAGAAAAACGGAAAGAATACCATGATATAAATGGAGAGATAAGCTAAATGGGAGTCAAGCATAGTGTCGTACCAATGATACTTAAACAGTCAGGCCAGGTAAAGCAATTTTGCATTGCAAAGAAAAGTCATTACCAATGTCACCAAGCAGCACTCAGCGGTGTTCTTGACGTCAAATTGAATGCGTGAAATGGGACACACGGAGCTCCTCAGACAAAGGTGTTACCTGTTGGGCCTCGGACAAGATCTGAATTGCCGTGGCGTCTTCCAAAATATTGCCCTCGCTGCTGGAAAGCACATGCAAAATCTTGTCTTCTATTTCTTTCAGCTTTCGCTTGTTCTCCGCCGACTCGACCACCAGCGTCTGCCGCTGCCTCTCCAAATCGGGTCTCTCCTCGGCAACCACCACGCCCAGAAGCTGGTCACCCAGTCCTTCTTGCGTTATCATGAAGTTCAGAAGGGTCACCTTCACTGAGATCTCTGGAAGGTAGTGTGGATTCGCCAGCGATGTGGTGATGTAGAATCTACGAGACGTCACGAGATTCAAGAACGGCACAAATAGTAATGTTGATTGGTAAATTAGGACCCGTGTATTGCTGAGTTCTGCAAATTTCACACCTCCCCATATAGGCTTAGATTTTTTTGACTCAGGTGAATACAAGCGGCGAAATCTAGGCAACTCCTTTCAGACCTTGTAGACTCACTGACGGCACACCGGTGGCCACATTTGTTGGTAGGAATACCCATGTCCTGGATATTTAATGTAGTGTGAGTGCCATGCCACGGATATTCGTATCCAAAATATGCATGAACATATCCTGTATATGGATTCTTCATATCCCTGATATGGATGTCCGGACACTGGACATGGCGAGAGTGTGCCCGAGGATGTGGCGGCACATCAGAAAACGCAAATAAATGATATGCAGCTTCCTTCCGACGTCCCTATTAAACTATCAAATTGCACTTATGCAAATTGAGATTCATCCCATGCATCAGTGCATTCAAGGATATAAGTCTCGGCGAGTAAAGAATAAGCGTGCTGTGCATCACTCATTAGGTAGGTAGCAAGGGACCCTGGGTACTCCAACAGTGTCAGCTGCCTCATTTAAATGTGACATGCTAACGACCTGGTCGCTTACCTAAACTGACTGCTGTACTCTACGGCAGCGTCTCCAAGTTTGATGTAGTACGACCCTCCCTGTTTGTATATCTGCTTGAGAAGCAGCGGCTCTAGAGACGGCTCCAGCTCCTCCCCCACGTTCTCCAACAGAACTGGCATTCCAAACTGAATTGAGTTCTCCAGCGTCCGTATGTAATTGGTGTCCGTCAGCTTGATGACCCGCAGGTCGTTGTCTTTTTCCATGTTTTTCACCCACTTGTTTGCCTGAAAAAAATCACTCAATTCTGGGATTGTTCGATCGCAGAGCTGTCTGCACCGATCCTGGGAGCCATTCAGTGTATGTCGACCACATTCTCATTGTTTGGAAGGTGTGTTTCGATAACATCAAGAGAATCTTTGTGAAAAAAAGAAAGCAATAATTATTGATAAAATTTTTGGTATATATTTGAACTCTAGGAAGAGTGCTAATCTTGCAACATGTATAGGCATATATTTAAAGAACAAGAACTCAGTACTCTCACTGCGTGCACGTCTGGTTTTATTACCATGTAAAGAATATATCCCCATATAACAATATTGTATGACCAAATACAGTTTAAATACTCTCTGTGATGGCATAGCACAGGCTTGTGGAGGAAATGTGTCATAAAATTTGCATGTTCAGAGAACTTTTCCCTGTCCCAGTACCGCGAATGGCGCTAAACATTCCATTCAACACGTTGCCCAATCTCTGATCAAGTACTTAAGAACTTCTCACCTGTGTCTGCGGATCAATCATGAGAGGCCACCGGCGAGCGCTTGCAACCATGATGCCGTTCTCTGTGGAGAAAATGTCGTTCGGAAGGCCCGCGATTCCCCATGCTCTGATTTTGACTGGATCTCCCAAGGCGGTGACCAACGAGAAGGTATCCGAACTTGGAATACCTTTCTGCTTGCAGGCTTGAACCCACTTCGTGCTGACCTGGGAAAGATATACAAGTTTGGCGCCATTTTTTCACTGTTCACCGCTGCCCCACAAGAAATTACTACGCACGATACTGTGTACTCGCTTCAACCGGGAACTGGTTGGTTGTCGTCGCTGTTGTAGATTCACTGAAATTGAGAACAATTAATCGATACTTTGAAAAAGTTAATGTTGAACGCGCAGCGCAATTGAATGGTGTCAAATTCGTTGATGCTTACTCGCCAACAGGAATCTCGACATATTTACACGCACGAATGCATTGCCGCCATAGGGCGCTCATCTCCATCGCAGTTGGATCAATTCTCTAAATGAAGTCCATTGAGATCAATGCAGCACCATGAAAACCCGTCTCAGTGGAGTTATTGAAAACGGCAAAAGGAGGATACTTTCAATCCCTACAATCATGAGTGTTGTCTAGTGCGCGTGACTCGAATGAACAATCGTTATGCACACCATGGTCTCGCATCCCATGCAGCGCATCTCCAGCGGCTGCCAACATCCCTTCTGGAAACCGTGCACGGGCGCAAGCACTTCGCAATAGCTACTGTGCCAACCAGAACTCAGTGGCACTCAGCACTTCTTAGCACTTGACTACCCCGGAGGATTCCTTGGGTTTCGAGCATTTGCCCCACGCCCTCGGATCACCTTGTTCCGCCATGGCATGGTGAACGCCCCCACGTAGGAAATGACCCCTGCGCTGATGAGCATGTCTCCCATCAGCCTGGTGTACACCTCCCCCAGGGCGTTTGCCGAAATGGTCCACCTGGCCTTCTCTCCCCCCAACCCGCCGATGAGCTTCTCAGCGCGATCCAGCTTCTGCGTGCACAGCTCCACCTCATCTTCCAGCCGCTTCTTCTCCCTCACGGAGTGGCTCAGCTGCGCCTCCATCTCCGCCAGTTTGTCCATCACCGACTTCAAGTCCGCTTGCTTGGCCTGCATGAATTCGAGCATGGCACGGTTCAATGGAGCGAGGAGTCATAAGCCCGCCGTAACTACAGCGACGTAAACAGAAAATCGTAAATAAAATGTTGTGAATGGAGCGCCGTAAGCAAAACATCGTAATTAAAAGTATCCAAATTGTGTGCGGCGGCGTCGGCCCCTTTTTATGTGTGGCTCCAGGGCATGAAGACCGATTGGTCGCTGTTATTTCCCTGGAGCCACACACCTGGAATATTCCTGTTCCCGAAACGTGTTTTGGACTTTCTAACGCAAGTCGCTCGAATTATGGCTTCTTGCAATGCCATGACCAGTAGGTATTAAATGAAATCACGCGGCGGAAGAATTGTGTAACACAAGTGGCACGCAGCGTACCTCGTGCCGCGAATATGTGTTATTACGCACCACCACATTTGAACTAATGCAAATGGAGCTCTCACTGCGTTTGATTATAGTCACCACTCCATTGACGACAGCTAGAACTACTCCATAGTGGTGTAATGCCCTCTCAAGCGCCGTAACAGCCGCTGAGCAAGCATAACATGTCAACACAAACTGCGGAGTATTTCCGCCTAACGCATGATACCCACCGTCAGTGCTTCTGTGACTTTGCTGTGCTCCGCTTCTGCCTCCGCCAATGCCGCCTTTTTCGGCGCCACAACTTTGGCCACTTTATCGTACTGGTCCATTGCGCACACCCATTTTTCGGCGCTCAGCTTTGGCCACTTTATCGTACTGGTCCATTGCGCACACCCATTTGCACAGACCCTCAGCAGCGGAGGACGCTTTAGCTGCATTTGCTGGCGTGAAGTCGGGAGTGGAGGTGTACTCTTTTCGAATTTTATCTATTATTTTTGCCGGCACGTTGTCCTTATCGTATTCCTTTAATCGGGTCACGAAATTGGCTTCTCCCAGAAGCTTCTTGGACGGCTCCCAGTAGTCGTCTATCTTCTTCCCTGATCCAGACGGGTCGTTGATCCTGCGCATCAATTACAGAAGGGCATGAGGTTACGATCTCAGAGGCTCTCGCATGATACTTCTGGCGAATCGGTGTGGGATACGGCACTGTATTGCCACCAAATTTCATTTCTGCCGCACAAATGATCCCAGATGCGTATATACCCTAATTTTCTCGTCTTTCATACGAGAACCACGCTCCTCACAAGCGGACGTTCAAGGGTAGTGGAAGCAAAGTCGTAACCGGATCGATAACAGGATGACTTTATCAATCAAATGACATTCACTGCAAGCGTTCTGAGTCCGTGTTCTTCATATCTCCATTCCTATTTCACCATATTCACGACATGTTCACAATATTCATCTAAAACGTATTTATCACCTTATTTCCCATACCTACTTCTCAATTTACCGCGCCCTCACAGTATTATTCAGTTTCGATTGCCTGACCTTGATTTTGATGCATTGGTAGATACATTGCACACATGAATTTTGGCGAAATATTGTCTTTCCAAAGGATGCTTCGCCCAACATGGGCATTGCTCAAAGAAACCAGTCGCACTGATTCGCGGCGAATACAAATGAGTGAGATCTTCTGCGATTGCACGTGACCCCTGGCCATTTGCAGAACCCTCATTCATAATTTTCTTATTGCGTAAGACGGTTAAATGCTCACAACTGCTCTTTGATACGATATACACATAATAATTACTCGCTCTCCACTTCCAATATTACGCACATTTTGTACTGTTCATATCCTTTACGTGCTTCAGTTTTTTCACTCTCACCTCGCTGGCTTGACCTCCAAAAGGACGCACACAGCCTCCATGACGACCTTGATGGCCCCTGGGGGGTTCTTGAAGGATTGCACCAGTTTTATGTCCGCGGGCTTGATCGTGTCAAGGGCCGCAATGGCGCTCTCCAGAATTGGAATGGCTTCCGCCAAAGCCTCCTCGCACTCCACCTTGATGGCGTTGGCTGCCTGTGCCGCCTGTTCAGCCTTGGAAACCTCGACGTCAACGACGGCTTTCTTCGGCTCCACGACCTGGAATAAAAGGTTCGGGTATTTCAAGGGAACTGTCAGATTCTCATGCCTTCCTTGGCTGCCCCCGGTTGAAGCACAACAGAGCTGGCAGCATTTAGCCATTTGCGACAGCTTCGCAACTCCAAATCACGTGGGTATGCGCATATTAAAAAAATCAGAGGGATATCGCAGCTCAACTTCGAAACAACGCAAAACAAATTTTGCTTTTCGCTGTAAACGGTGTGTGCAGTTGCTTTAAGCTACCTTGTCGCACCTCCGTTTTTTCCTTCTCCACCGTGGCCATCAGCTTCTCCGTGTCCGCCACGGTCTTCACAAGCGACGGCTTCAGCGCCGTGAGCTCTTCCTGCATTATGGCCACTTGTCTCTCCGTGAACTCCAGCTTCTCGAGCCCTATCCCATACCGCTTTTTGGCCTGAGAGACCTCCGCCCTCTTCTGGCCAAGCAAGGTCTGAAACATGGTGATGAGCTCCAAGTACGACGTGGGGGTTACGTAATTGATGCGCCCGGTCTCCTTGCGAAATTCCTCAGACAGTGTCCATATGTCCTGCGCAGGCCATTGCTCGAGCTCAGTGTTTCCTCAGTACCATTGTGGCTGATGAATATCAGTTGGAAAAAATGCGCTAGAAACATTTTTGCAGATTTCCTTTCCGCTTGGACAGCGACGGCATGGCGCCATTTGCACCGTGCCGCTGTGCCTCTGTGTGAAACGGCTTTGCCACATGGAGCCACCTTCCTTCCACCATCCCGCGCTGATGTATTGGTGATATTGCTTACTATCAAGCTCAGCTTTTCGAAATGAGTTGCATTTGTTGAGAAAAATCCCAGCTACTCCTTCAGGGAGCCTTTTCTTCGAAGAATTCATGAAATATCACCCCAGGCGGCAAAATGCTGAACGCGTTGCTGCAATCGAGTTATTCAGATGATCATGATCAATTGAGTATCATTTTAAATCCTGAGCATCAGGATCATTTTAACTTTCAGAGGCATACTTTGATGTGCGTACTCTATTCCTGTCACTTTCTATAGGGATTTATGATCTTAGTTCATATGTTCACCTGCACACATGGACACGCACCGTGCTGTAATATTCTGCATAATGCATTATTTCCATTCTTGTTTCGTTAAAAAGGGACAACATGAAAATGCAGTGTGACTGCAATGCGCAAAATAATACTTCGGACAGATAACGATGCTACACGTCTGTGAATTCTGCATGCCCTATATCCCACCTGGTGAAACATTTTACACATCTCCATAATTTTCTCTCTTTCTTTATCTTTCATATCGTCAATTTCCTTCAAAAATTTCATGGCCACCGCTTCCAAGGCATCATTGGGCCAACGCTGAAACCTGCATCACACAAGAAAATACTATACCAGAGATTGCTGTTTGGCAACTGCATCTGCAGTATGCATGCATATTGCTCACATACAGGGTATTTTGTATTTTCACTCGAAGATGCTGGTGACTTCATACATTTGCAGAGATTGCCGCTGGAATCTGAATGCGTCTCGCTAATATATGCACTTACCCATTTCAAATTGTAGCGGATACTCTTGCTCTTGGGGATGGCAGCAAAAATATCCGCTGGTTGGCCCATGTTTTGAGGACATGCATACATGAAAATTTCAAACGGCATTTTCATGCTCCTGTGCCTATGAGCGGAAAGTTCCTGAAAAATGTGCAGTTCTGACAGCACAAAAAGAGTCTGCATTGAATCTACATGCATGAAATATATGTGCCGACTGTATTTTGTTGCATTGATAGTGCCGCGAGTAGTTCAGCAATTCGTGTCAGCATTCGCAACCATGAAATATCGAGTGATATGACATAATAGTGATATAATAATTAATGACATAATCATATGACATAATAATGAACGCGATATGACATCAGGCTGCTCTGTACACGTACTGATACAAGACAGCTCTCTTGGAGCTGCCATTGGTCAGAAAGATTCCTCGATAAAGTACATATTTAATATATATGCCACAAATAGTTGATGCATATTCCGGTGCAAATCGCGGCACATCTGTGTGCCATTGATCATGTCGGCTCAACAACCCAGACAAAAATTTTGTCAGGGTTGAAAGGGATAGAATGTGTGAAATTGGGTGGGGCGGGGGGGAATGAGCGCGCATCGGCCTCACTGCCCTTCTCACCAATCCACAGTGCAGCAATTGACTATTGATGGGAATTGCCTGAGGCGCTCCCTGAAGGCGTCTCCAATGGGACTGAAGCACAGTACGATGTGAAGGTTTGCCTTCGTCTTCTCGACAAAGTAGTTCCACAGTTCCACCGGAGTTTCCAGATTGCATCCTTCTTTCTTGGACGCAGTCCTCACTTGTTCCATGACAGATGCACGCTCGTCGTATGGAAACAAATTTGGGACCTGAAAAGGGAGCGCTCGTTCACTCAATAGAAGAGATTCTGCACTTGGGAGGCTGAGCAAACATTGGAAGCTAAATTCAGTAAATAATAATGGATTTTCCATTGACAGAAAATGGTTTGTACATGTGAGTGCAAACGGGCTGCATTCTCATTGTTTTGGGGTCAATCCAGCACCGTCTGATGTAAGTGCAACATTCCCAATAGTTCAGCACAAATTTCTTGATGTCACTCTAGTGACATATCGCGCAAATGCGCGAGCAGCGCTCCGTAAGTGCCACTTGCCATCAACCAGATAAGACGTTTCATATGCGGCTTCAAGCCACACAGTTTCAAATTCAAGACTCCAGTGTGCACCGCTGTCCAAAACAGCGAGCGTAAAAGCGAATGGACGAGGGAAAAAATTATGTAGATGCACGCATGCCCGACACTGCCTGCGAGGCGAAGGTCCCAACTCTTGGTTCGACGGCAATTCTAAACAAGTCAATTCAACCACCTCTCCAGAATTGAGCAGACAGTTGATGTCCTCCACGAACGCCTCGTCCTTGATCTGGGTGTCGGAGAAAAGGAATACGCACGACTGCCCAGCTGCGCCGGCCCTGCGGGTGATGCTCTTAAGGTCTTCCCGCCAGTCTTCCGATGAGTAATTCTTGGATATCTCGACCTGCAGGGTCTCCATTCCGCAGATGTGCGCCGCCAATCTGGCAAGGCTTTTCCTTCCGCTGCCTCCGACCCCGGCGCACAGCATGTGTCCTCCTGAAATGATCGAGCGAGGTCATGCGCAAGGCATGGGCCGCCCAATCCACTGTCCTTTTGAGCAATACTTTGATCATATACCTTTAGCCGTACCCTTAGTTGCAAAGCCGGATACTGTGAAGTTCCAGTGGCACATCTTTTTTCCCGGATATTGGTGGGCATCGATGCAGAACCAGCGACTTTGGTGAATGGAACATCATCGAGTTATGAAGATATTCGCAAACATTTATTGAGGATCCTAAGCACAAATTCCGAAGTAATCGGATCTAATTTTGCGCTCTCTCTGTCTATAAGTACACCGAGATTATCTAGTTACTACGTAGACTGCTACCGCAGCAGTATCCACCCCTTATTGGCATCTTAACCCACTGTAAGTAAGTAAGGGGCACATCATCATTCGTGAAACGACGCTGCCATCCATTGCTTCGTTTTGCTCTGTTTAGGGCTCTCCATACGTTCGTATACTATTATCTGGATACCAGCATCTGCAAACTACGCCAATGGAATCGTGGCATAGCAGCAAGTCCTGACCGTTTGAAGCAGTATTCATCACCGCGATTTCAATTATTGCGCAAGTCATTTTGTCTTCTATCCGCACCCTGCAACTAGTGAATTTTGCAATACATTCTGGAGAATTTCTGGGATGTTTACATTTTAAGCACCAGCGTCCATATCTGCAGCATGCTCGCTTCTGCAGAGCGATTAGTTTTTTTTCAAAAAACTTGGTGAAAAATGTTTCCCTTTTCCTAAAATGTATATTGTGCCTAATTGTTCAATAATTGAACAAGTTGAACTAGTTAGAATTCACTTAGGCAGCAAAACTGCAACAAAATTGCGCTCGGCGGGAATGCTCACCGGATTGCGCACTTTTCCTGAGCTCACCTGGCTGCTTAAGCACTCTGCACACTCGGGAGATGTGCTCCACCGCGTAGAGGAAAAGCGCCAGATTCATGGACTGCTTTCCGGCACTGTTGTGGTCCACAAGATATTCCTCCATTTTGGCCACCAAGCTTCCAACGTCTTCAACCTCGCAGTACGTCCGTTCGCTTGGTTCCTCCGCCTCGTCCATGTAGTCCCCGAAAAAGAGCTGCCGCAGGTCTTCCACGCTGACGTCGTCGGAGGTGGCAAGTCGATCGAATACTCTCACGAAATCGCAGCCCAGGTTGGTCTTGGTCGTTTCTTTGAGGGTAGATATGAACCATTCCGCTTCTTTCACATCCACCAGCCTGTCGTAAAATACCCTCAAAATCTGTGCCAATGCGCGACAGGATCAGCCGTATTCGTGCAACAACAAGAAACAACCTTCATCCTTGCCCTGGCTTTCGATGCGCCTTGCGCGACTCTGCAGACGCGCCTCACGACAACAGTGATATCGCCTCAGTGCAAATAAGTTCCTCTAAAAGTTGAATTTCAGTTTACTGTGCTCAGGCACCGTCCATGTTGAACACAAATATCCCATGAGGGTGGCCCTGATATACCACACATGCTTTCAGTTCGATGCCCATATCAACAGCATACTGTTGATACGCTCGAGAGGGCGGAGGATTGTTCATTCTATGCGGCTTTGCCATGTAACCTGAGTGTCCCAACGCAACACCAAAATGCCTAAATACAGTCGAAAAATATCCGCTTTCTCTGTGTTTACCTTTTTGCGCGTAAACCTTTAAACGCAAAACCTAACAAAACACCAAGCCTGGCCTCCATTCAGAAAGAAAACCTATATTGCATTCAGTTTATGAGAAATTGCCAATTTGTATCGGGCACTTCTGGAATCCCAAATGTTGCATGTGACCGGTGATTTGCAAGCACGAAATGCGAGGGGAATTCCCCGAGGCCGTTGCCCACCTCGTGAGTCCATAATCTGACGTACATGCCCTTTGCTGCAGGCGACTTCCCTAGGCTCTGAGGCTTCAACATCAAAATCCCTTGGATGACGCGCGAAATGTCACGGAGATTGAACGTGTAATGAGATTTGGCGGGCGTGGGAAGGAGGTGAGACATGACGGTGGTGTAGATATCCAAAGTCGCTTCTACAATGCCGCTCGCCATACCCTGAGCACAGAGGGCACTGCGTCAGTGGCTTTGCCATTCCAAGCAAAAGCGTTGCGATAACATATCCATGTTTAGACTTTTCAGTGCTTTAGCTTGTGCACTATATATGCGATATTCATTGTACCAATTATATGACACAACATACAGAATGCATATACTCACTAGTTCAAATTTATTGAAGAATCCTTTTCACAATTTGGGTACTTCATGAGAAAAAAATACACAACATGGGTGGCTCTGAGGCAGTTGTCCACCTCTTGTTCATGCCAATGGCATGCCAAACATGTTCAAAGACATGTAACATGGAAAGCGACCATCTTTTGGGGAAATTTTTGGCACAAACCTCTAGCAGTCCATATCGTCAGTGTGCAGAGTTGCAATGCGGATTATGTTCCATTTATAAAAGAATTCTATATACAATGAAGATATGTGCCTTTACAAGAAATATGTGGTGAGCTGGAAGGTGCTTAAAACATAGTAATGAAATATTGAAGTTGCAGCCAGCCCTTGCGTTATTTAATTTTGTGTGCAGACATATTGGAAGTCTATATAGCTAAAGTAATGTGCGTTACACTTCATAAGCATAACACACGTATGTTTGTTTTCAAAGTTTTGATGCCGAGCAATTATTAAATCAACCCAGTTATCGTACTATAGTATGCGCATGCATATTCAATGAGGCAAAAATTTACCAAAATGCGCTGAATGTCAGCCCATACCATAATGAATTGCATCTCCACCGCAACAGGCTGTGCGTAATCATAAGCGGACCTGAATTTCTTTTGGAAAATCTTCCTTTTCCATGAACCACTCAACAATGGTCTTGAAAATTGTTGTCAAAGTCGAGTGACTAAATTCCACTATCGATATAGTGTTGAAGTGGCGAGTGTATCTGTGAGTCGGCGCGTTTCGACCACCTCCAGGTGGCCCCATGGCACAGACGAATTGACAGTCCTCCATTTTTCTAAAAGCACCAGTTCTGCAGGAAGCAATCACCATACACGTGACTCCATCTCGGAATCCTTATCATTATTATATCCATACAGGCATTTATAAATTCTCAGTGTGCGTAATACGTACTTCAAAAATATGCATTATTTGTTATTTACCAAGCAGAACGCGCACGTCAACAATTTCAGTGGTATGCAGATCAGATGGCTCCTGGTACAATTTCCTTTGTGTTCTTTAGATACACGGGGGAGATATACAAGCGCATAGTGAGGGAACTGTAGTCCTCATGTCCAGCTCAGCGCAACATAACTAAAGGTGCAAGGCGCGAATTTGCATTACGCGGGAGCTCAAACGAGAACACATGGCATGGAAATAAATTCATCGCCATGAGGCTACATTGGAAGTTCAAGGGCTTCTGCTGTGCCATTCTACAAGATAATCAAAGCGAGGATGAAGACGAGACATGAGCAGACCCACCTCATGCAATTGTCTAGTCAGACTGCACTTTTGTTTCGCTCTCTACGTGTTGCTATCCTTCCAAGACCACAGATTCATGTCGCGCTATGCGTTACACGTGCCCAAAGCACAGAAGGCTACAACGCGAATTCACAAAGCATGCAACAAAATATATATTTGCGCGTCTCCATTAGACAAGCGTCATAACAGAATGGATACGCAGCCCGTCACTTTTTGCTATTAGATGTATTAAATACATTGCATTTCTGCTCTGGCATCAGGCATTGTCGGAGAGGCGTCGGATAGCCAATACAATTTTGACATCAAGCTGTTCATAAACGACCAACCCGCGCTATCGAGCATAAAGAATCTCAAGCGGAAATGGTATATCCAAATGGATATGCAGTTGTGATTTTTGGCACCTCGATCATTTCGAAGTCGTGGATTTTGTGAGCAGACATTATGGGTGGATGTGGCGTTCAAAATTTTGGCTATGCCGAGTCGGCACAACCCAAAATAGTACTTAACTCACCATTGCCTTGTGGCCACCCTGTGCTCACCTGTCATACCATCCGCCGTGGTCCATAAACTGTCGAAGTAGCTCAATTGGTGGCTGCGCACCGTATTGCTCAACTTGTGGCATGTTTAGGTCGTCCACGAAAATAACGGCCTTCTTCCCCACTGGGGGCCCGAACACACCCTTCTTCCTCCTGTCCAACTTTTCGTCGATCAGGGCTTGTGTCATGTTTGCGGATGTTCTGGCAGAAAAGCCGACCATGATTGGTGGCACGTACTTTTCCGAGGGCAAACTGTACAGGTATTTTTGTATGTACACGGATTTTCCTGCAAGTTCAACAACACATTGATGATCACGTGTGCGTGCATAACTACATTCCTGGCTTTATAGAGAGCGACAGCTGGCAATGTCTTTTGGCGCAGATACCCGTCTTTCGATGAATTAAGAAGATAATCGCAGGTACGGCGTATCAGTTTCCATACCCCCAAGAGACCTTTGCTCTGACAAATGTCCACATGAAATGCACATCGCTGATATTTGTGACTATTGAGAACATTACCTGCATAGGGGCGCCGCAAACACAGTAAGCAGCTGCCCGAAGCTGGAGAGAACTTTGTTTACCCGATTGAGGAGATTGCAACTTTTCACGTCAACGTTCATATGCACATGAGGCGCGCGTCGAGCACGTGGTTCTAAGAAGCCACGCAGACATTTGGTGTGGCTGATTGTGAGGCCCCGAATCTCGGTATAGAGACATTCCCGTACCCCAAACCGACTGGCTACTGTCCGCTGAAACTGTGGCCCCGTCATGCCATTTGAGCAGACGCCACCCACTGGTACAAATGATTTTTGGCGATGCCATCTGCGATGCCACTTGAACCTCGTTGATGCCATCAGAGCCACATTTCCAAGTAGCTGTGATGGTTGTAGCACACATTATGACATCTCAGTCACTGCAATGGCGCCGCTTGGTGCCAAAATGGCATCGCAGTTGAGATCTCAAATCCTGTGTTTTCTGCTGGTGACCAAGTTTTAGGTGCTCTGACCGGGTCATTCCCAATATTTCTGATCTCTAAACGCCTTCATGTTAATTGCATGAATGCATGAATATCGCATGGACATCGTATGTCGCGATGTTCTGGCCGGCGCCGGAGCTGCAAATCTTGGATATTAATCACCTGTTCCTGTGGGTCCCACGAAAAGACATGGGTAGCCATTCTGTAAGACCACATCCAGCATGTACGTGTACCGCACAGTATCGACGGTGGGCACGACGATGGACCGTATGGCCGTGTCGGGTGGAATGGCGGTGTCGACAATCATGGAAGACCACCTCTTCCATGACGCCCCCTTCATGTCGAACACGTAGTCGTACACCGTTGTGCCGTCGCTGTTGGGAATCATGGGCGCCGCCATTGAATGGTGCCCTTCCGGGATGTCTTCAGGCAGATTGTAGCTGTACAAGTACAGAAAATCATAGACTGATGTCATGACGATGTGTTTTGCAGCGCCATTGCTCTGCATCGTCGTGGCCAAGGCAATCTGCCCGCGTATGCTTGCCTGCAGTATGTTCATCTGACAGCATTTGCGAGTGCTGACGAGCTTTCTGGAGGCCTAATTGTGCCTGAGTGTCCTGCATACCGGTTTGCAGCTGTGGGGCGAGCTCCACAGGCCGCCGTCATGGCGCACACGTTATACCACGCAGAAAACATATTGCGGTACACAGCTCAGGTCCTATTGATCAGTGACATTGGTTGATGCCCACCCCATGAATGTGATTTGACGCTGATTTCGGGTCACGTGCCAATGTTTTGCTAACACAATGGAAAGTCACGCGCGATGTAACGATAACTCGATTGCGGAATAATGAAAGTCCAAAGGCATATTCGGTAGAATTTCGGGAAACGGGTACCGCAGAATTGTCCACTCACAGTTCCCCGGATGGGCCCCGAAAGTTTGCCAACTTTTCTGCAACCGCTGCTCGAACGAATATGTCGAAGTCCTGCCGAGCTTGTGTGGTGGCGGCAGTGGCCCCGATAGACCACACAAGAGAGAATACAAAGACGCTTTCCAATCGGACATTCACGGCATTTTCGTCGAGCTTTTTGTATTCATCCTCATTCTGCTCCAAAATCAATATTCTTCGTTGGAATGGGTCAAATGGCAAGCGCTTCAATTGCCAACTCAGTACGGATTCTTGTTCAGGGGTTGAGCCAAGAGGAACGCGAGTGCTGTGGTTTTATGCTGTGGGTTTAATGTTATCGGCATAACCTGAACATCCTTCTTCAATCAGAAAAGATTTCATGCCTTCTGTAGCACATTTAGTGGATCTGGGCAAGTCACAAATTGTTCTAATTGCAACGCGAGCCAGATATCAACATACCCAGACGCCAGAACCATGCTACCAGTGAATCCTAGCATCGTCAGCAAGGGATAAGCTCTACTGCATGCAGATATTTTGATGCTCACAGAACATTACATACCTGCCAATCACCAAGCATGCTGGATATATTCCTCATCAGGGTCACCACCAAGTTCCCGTTTATAGTCGGGGAGCCTTCCTTAACCTCCCTGCGAATGAATCTGAGAGAAACGGGGACCAGCCAGTCGAAGAGCCCTAGCATGTGCTCCTTGTGCTCCTTCCCTAGATGAGTAGGGAGGGTGGCCATCCACGACAGTGTGAGTGGGCGCCATCCCAGCTGGTGAGATTCCAAGTACACCATTCCGCAGCGGCTCACCGTGGCGGGAGAGGCCACCGCCAGGTCCATCACTTCGAATATCATGTTCTGAAATGAGCAATAACTTCATTTGAAAAAGGCTGTGGCTGGGAGTATGAGCAGCCCAAATAGACCCTTGACTATGTTTCCAGTGGCTTGTGGAGCGAATCTGGTGGAGGATTCATCGCAGTTGAGTGAAATCGATTCAAGGTACCGTTGATTTCAAACGTCGCCAAGACAAGAACATTTCATTTGTCTTGCAGCAGCACACAACATGCAGAAGAATTACCTAACCCCATCAATGTGCAGGACAACTTCTTGTTTATGAGATCTTATGCACAAAGGCTTGCGTTTCCATACAGGCAGACGGCAAGCAGTGTCCATGCGTGTTGCTGGCCCACCATTGCGGAGCTCATTTGTATGATCTCCCCGGAGTTGAGGCAGAGCTTCTTGTTGTCGTCCAGGACCGTGTTCATGTTCTCTATCCAGATCGCGTCGACAGGTCCATCCAGAATCAGCCACTTGCGATGGGGGGAAGGGTCGCTGGCGCATGCTCGGAAGGTGATGGCAAGCACGCCGTCCGTCCATTCGTGGCTCACCGGATCAAACTGCCCGTACAGCTGTCCCATCGTCACGCTCTTCGGATTGATGACGTGAAACTCTTGTTTCTGTTGGTCCCCCTGGCCCCTCTCGTTCATGAGCGTCAGGGCCTTGGCGAGGATCCTGTAGCATGACGTCTTGCCCGAAAACGGCCAGCCGACTATCATCAAACCGTGCCTCACGACCGTCATCTCATACAGTTGGGTGACCTGCAGCAAATCGATGCCCGATCGGATGGAGTTTGTGCAGCGCAACGGGCCTTCGTGGAATACTCGACTCGATTTTGCTCCCCAGAAGGCTTCAGAAATGTCTTTTACTCAAAAGCTTTGATATTCTTGTATAAGTTTATTTTACATTCGCAATGTGGAATCTGGAAAACGCCCTGTCGAGGGATGGAGATTTGTGGGCGCAACGACCTTCGTGGAATGCTCGACTCGATTTTGCTCCCCAGAAGGCTTCAGAAATAACTTTTACTCAAAAGCTTTGGTATTCTTGTATAAGTTTATTTTATATTCGCAATGTGGAATCTGGAAAACGCCCTGTCGAGGAAATGATGGCACGGGAATAAAGTGACAACTACCGCTTGCCTATTGCGTAATTCACTGAATTCAGTACGTTAAGCAGTGTCTATTGGAGGGAATTGAAAATATGAGCGATGTTGAAGGTGTCAGCCGTAGCCACCAGACAATTTCTCAGCCTCCCGAACCTTGAGCATGAAGTAATCCACAGTCTGCAGGTTGAGTTCTTGGCAAACGTCTCGCACGGCCTTCTCCATATGTTTGTAGTCAGGCTTGGGCAGAACCACTCCGGGAAACAGGTCCGATGTTATTCCCTCGAAGAGGGGCACATCGTGGCTCAGAAATTTGCAGAGGTTCACGTCAATTATGGATCTCAGCATAAGCACGAGCTCTTCCTCATCTGGGTCCCTCTGTTTGTGGTTTCCGGCGGCCCGAAGCACGGCCATGACTGCCCTCATACCTGTCGTTGCGTTGAAAGCTGCGGGTTTCAATTGACGTTGATGGCATGCACTGTACTTATACGTGCTATGATTATCGTCGATAACTGTGTTGGTGCGTATTTCGCAGCAGATGAAGTAAGTCTGAACCTCTCTAAAACTCTTCCAGGCGTCGCTCCACCAAAAGAACCAGAATTTACTACTCATTTCGAATTTTGCCATCAATATTTTGAATTTTTGGAGACGATCTATGCACTTCCACGCCGCACTGGATGCTCAATCCAGTGAAATAATGCTTCAATTGCAAAACAGTTCTAAGCAGCAAGGCAGCATCGCTTTTCGGATTTAACACGCCTTTGCAGCCAATCAGCTGCCCCAATCCGACGCTTCCTTGCCAGGTAGTTTTTGGCTTATAATTTCGACGTACAAGCCGGAATGGAGCGCACCATAATCGTAGTGATCTTGCGACGACAGTTGTTCGGAACAGAGTTTGTAGCATTGGACAATTTTCTTTGCACAGTCCCGCGCGTGAAGGTAACCGAAAGAGAATAGGATTATCTCGGATATCATTGCGTAGTCGGGAACCATCATGGCAACTGTTCGGAACAGCGCCTTCAAATTGTCAGGCAGCTCTGATCTTCCAGCGTATCCGGGATTCATAGTGATGGAACACCAGGCGCTCCATTTCAGTTGAATTTCCGTTCCCTCAAAGGTGAACACCGTGAGCTGAGCGGCAATTGCCCTTTGGATGTCGAGCACCTGAGATACCGTAAATTTCCCTCAGCAACTTAGGCAGTAAAGGCGCGGTTGAGGTTGCACGGCACATTCACGTATCAAGAACCCCATGCGCATCACAAACCGAACTTCGCCACATAGATTGCATCACAAGCATTCACAGAAATCGCGGCATGAAAGACCAAACGCAAGCAGGACGTGTGGCAGCATTACACCTTCGGGGTGTGTATTATTCACTGCTGAAGAATGAGAATAGACGCCGACTGCTGATCTGAGAGATAAATCGTCTTTGAGGCCCGTTAATTTTCGTGTGTTGTATATGCTGGAGTCAATGTGTAGAAGGCATCCTGGCTTGGCGTCAAAACGCTCCGAGCCATGCGCCTGCAGCCTGCGAGCGAACAATTCGGCTTGAAATGTATGCCATTTGGCGGGCTTCAGCCATTTGCCTTCCTTCTTAGTGTTGTCCACGCATATCAGTCGCCCTTCTTTTCACGCTTATCGCTCCAATGAGCTGCCGGAACTGGCAAGTTCAGGATCTCCATGCACCTGCTGGGCCACCACGCTGAGCACCTCCAGGTCGATTCTGTTGAACTCGTCGAAACACGCCCACGCGCCGGATGCCGCCAGGCCTTTGAAGAACTTCCCCATTGCGATGTAGTCCAGGGAATCTGAGCAGTTGAACACCACGCACTGCCTTGCCAGAGCCTTCGCAAGATCCTTTGTAGTTTCCGTCTTTCCCGTCCCGGCTGGCCCCTCGGGCGCGCCACCAAGGGTCAAATGAATGGCACCCATCAGTGTCCGATAGCACCTACGATCAGACGGAACTATTAGCGCCATGAATGCCGCGAGTGGGGTTAATTGATTTCATGTGATACTGGAGTTCTTTTGGAATCCATTTGGAACAGCCATTGACTGTCCTAAACGCCGATGGGATGCACAAGGCACTGTGGGCAAATGTGGATAACATTAAAACCAGTTTTGATCTGTGAAGTGCAGATTACATGTGCTTTCGTTCAAAAACTCAATGAAACTTTCACACGTCGACCTTAACTTAAAATTAATCTCAAAATTGGATTAGGAAGCTTTCAATGTTCTTCAGATTGTGCCACCTATTCACGCATTTAAACATGTACTTGTAGTAAAAACCTATGCCTGTAACGCGCCGCGTTTGCTACCCAGGCCTCAACCGCATCGGAAAGTTCATAGAAACTCGCCATGCAGTGCAGCGCGCACTCGAAATTCATATCTCAAACATGCTGTTCAGTGCTATCGGCTGTACCTGTCCGTGAGAGGGGTGATGACCAAACGGGAAGAGTTACCGAGATATTCATATCCATATTCGATTGTTGCTGACATCATTTTCATGATGACCGTGCGCTCGTATTTTTGAGACTCGTCCTCCTCCCAGTGTGTCCGAAGCTGGGCCTGCCAATCGAATTCTGCGACGGAAGAGACGCCTTTCTGCGCCAGGGTGGACACCACGTCCCTGGCATGGACATCCATCACCACGAGGGCCC